GTGGGGGGGGCCTGTGTGTCGGGCCTGGGCCCCGGGGCTCACCCACAGCGATGTCCCCGAAGTTGGAGATGGGCCTGCCTTGGTTGGACGCGACTGTGATGGGCGGCGCCACAGACGGACACCACAGCTCCAGGTACAGGGTGCTGTGGGGGCTGAGGGCGCGGGGAGCTGGGGGCTGAGTGTGCCCACGGCCGCCCCACACCCGCCCGGGCTGACCGCCCCCGGCCAGCGCACCTGAAGCTCAGGGGCTCTGCGCCCTTCCTGCCTGCCACGTCCCCACTGGCCACCACACAGGGGACCACCAGCTTGTCAAACTTGCCCTTGAAAGACCGGGTCAGGGCGGCCAGCGCAGCCTGGTACTCGTCGGAGCTGGAACAAGTCGGCAGAGAGCCCTCAGTCTCGCCCTCGGGCCTCCTCTCCGGGGGGCTGGGGGGGGGCGGGGGCAGGCACCCAGCTTCGCCCTGGTCTGTGGGCCCCACGTGCGGGCCAGGCAGGTCCTGGCAGCAGGCGACTGGGCGCAGCCCTGCTCCCTGGGCTCAGGTTGTGCCCTGAGGTGTCGCCCGGTGCTGGCAGCCCACGGCGCGGGGCTGTTCAGAGTGACTGGCACCGGGCAGGGGCAGCGGCCGGGTCCTGCTGCCCCCGGAGCCTGCCCAGCCCAATTCGCGGTCATGTGGCCAGAGACCGGCAGCGGGGCCTGAGTGGACCCACTGGCCTCGAACTCCTGCCTGTGCAGCTCCAGGCCGTGGGAGGGGGAGGCCTGGCCCCCTCGGTCCTGCTCCTGGCTGTGCAGCAGCAGCATGCAGGTGGTCAGTTTCTGCGGGTCCCTCCTCTGGGCGGCCCAGTCCTTGCGCGCCTGTGGGGGAGGGGCTGCTGGGGCTGTGCCTCTCGGGCCGGCCTGGAGCTGGGTCCCAGGACAAGCAGATCCCTAAGCGCCGAGCCGGGTGAGCGTCCGGGCACAGGGGCCGGGCAGCCACCCCGGGAAACCGAGGCACAGAGCGGGAAGGACAGTGGGCCGACAGGCAGGAGGGTCGCTCTTGGCGGCTCCCCGGCAGGTGGGCTCAGGCCTGGGCCTCCACTGGGCCTGTGGCCGGCCGCCTCCTGTCCAGCCTCCGTGCTCCAGCCTCTCGGGGCTGGCCCGCGACGCGTCTCTGGGCTGGCCTGCACTCCGCCCCCCCTCGGCCGGGGGCTCCTCGCCAGCACGGCCCGCGGCGGGCTCCGGCTGCCGAGGCCCCACGCACCCACTTGGCCTCGGCTTCCTTGGTCTGGGCCTGCAG